GGTGTTTTGACATGAGTAGAATGTGTCCTTTTATTTAAAATGCATCTCTGGGTTATTTGTGGGGCATAGGAATTCGTTCATTTCCCCCCCCCAAAAAAATAGTCCAGTCCACCACATGGTCTGGGACGGTGGACCATCCCATGGCTAAAAAAGGTTGCTGACCCCTGTTTTAAGGGAAGTGTTGTTCTTCCTGAGTTTCTCCGGGAAATGGGCTGCCTTCACCATCTTCTTTTCTCTCCTCCTAGAATCCAGGGGGCAGATTGTCATCACTCAGACACCAGCTTCCCTACAGGCAAGTCCTGGGGACAGAGTCACCATCCTGTGCAGGGCTTCCTCTTCTGTCAACAGTAATATGGACTTCTATCAGTTTAAACCAGGGGCAGAAACCCAAGGTGCCTGATTTATTCAGGGTTCAAGCCGTTTCGGAGAGACTCCGGATCGTTTCAGTGGCAGCCACAGCAACACTGACTTCTCCTTCACAATCAACGGTGTCCATGCTGAGGACGAGGCAGAATACTACTGTTTTCCAACGCCAGAAGTTCCCACTCCACAGTGATACACTTCAGTACAAAAACCAGCTCGGTGGCCTAAGACGGCAGAAGGAATGACAGTGGGTGTTCTGCATCAGCGGCATTCATTGGGCCAGAGCATCTTTTTTGAAGTCAGTAGGTGGCGATCACACAGGGTCCCCGGGACGTTTGGACGTCTATTGATCCCTGTGCCACCACTGTGCTCGCTTCCCCGCTGCCCACCAACCTGTACTCTTGGGTACAACACTGAGTCCAGACAGTTGTTAAAAGTGAACAAAAAAACAACAAAAACAACAAGTTTATTTTACAAACATTAACAAGTTTATGGTTTCTCAGACACTATTCCTGTCAGTATCTTAACTTTAGTTTCTTTACCGGCCTATACCTTCCCAATACCTTCTGACTGATTATCTCAATGGTTTAACTGACTCCTCTTAACAAATTTCTTACTCTCTCACACCAGACTAGCCCAACCCACAGACTTATCTTCTCTGTCTCTTCTAACTCCAGACTGTCTTCTCAACAACTCTAGTAAAGGGACCCCTGACCATTAGGTCCAGTCGTGACCGACTCTGGGGTTGCAGCGCTCATCTCGCTTTATTGGCCGAGGGAGCCAGCGTACAGCTTCCGGGTCATGTGGCCAGCATGACTAAGCCGCTCCTGGCGAACCAGAGCAGCGCACGGAAATGCCATTTACCTTCCCACCGGAGTGGTACCTATTTATCTACTTGCACTTTTACGTGCTTTTGAACTGCTAGGTTGGCAAGAGCTGGGACCGAGCAACGGGAGGCTCACCCTGTCATGGGGATTCGAACCGCCAATCTTCTGATCGGAAATTCAAGAGGCTCAACAACTCTAACTCCCTAAAAACCTCTGTGCTTAAAACTTATACACAGTTAACTCTGGCCTCCTGGGTTCCCATTGGTTAGTCATTTTACAATTAGTTAACCCTTTCCTATGAACCCAGTTAAATCCAGGTTAAATCCCTGATATTTCCAGCTACAGCACAAGGATGTGATCCCTGATCTAAAATCCTGGAGAGTCCTTTCAGACTTGGAGTACATGGACGGTGTGTGTGTGTGTGTGTGTGTGTGTGTGTGTGTGTGTGTTAAAAATCCCACCTGCCGGATCCAGTTCCTCACTCCTAACCTAGTTTGAAGAACATTTCTGGAGCACTCAAAAGCTTGCATGTTATGTGTTGACATTTGGGGCTGCCTAATTGCCCCGATTCATATTCAGAAAGCTATTTTTCATCTACTGTCTATATTGTTATGCTGCCTGCCTAACATGATTTTTTAAAAAAAAAACCTGTACTGATGGTACTTTCTGAGCTTTTCCAGCTGACATTTCAAGCATGTCCCACAGAAATCCCCTGTGGCCACTTGTTCAGATTTCAGCGTGTTCGCTGCCATTTTGACAGGTGGCAAAGCAGGCGTCAGTTTCTGAACTGATTCCCCAGTCATTGCCACAGGGCAGGAGGGGGCATACATTAGATTTGGTTCGCATTTAAAGGTGAACCTACCAGATTAGCACTTTCCCAAACTACATGAGAACCGAAACACAAGTTTGCTTAAGAATCTGCACTTATCTGAATTTTCCATAAATTTCAGCCACCAAACCACGTATACAAAAAAAGCATATATTTGGGGAAAGTAAGCACCAAATCAACATATTAGTGAGAATAACATACAAAAGCACATTCTGCTTAGGGGAAATTGCCGGAAAAAAAGATGTAAATTAGTCTAAACTCTCTAATGGCTTTACCACAGTGGCTCTCAAAATATTAGTTCAGCAATTTACATCTGCTTTGCCAATCTCAACTCAATGCCACAAACTGAATAGTATTTGGGAGAGAAGGCCCAGTTACACTCAGGGTATACAGTCGTACCCTGGTTGCCGAACGCCATGGAACTTGTACGTTTCAGCACCCGAATGATCGAAAACCATAAGTGAGTGTTCTGGTTTCCGAACAATTTTTGGAAGCCAAAC